TGCTCCAGGGGTGGGAGCTGCTCCGGGGGTCGGGGATATTCGGGGGACTGAGGATGATCCAGGGGTCGGGGATGTTCCAGAGGCTGGGGATGATCCAGGGGCTGGAGATGCCCCAAGGGCTGGGGATGCTCCAGGGATTGGAGATTCTCGGAGGGCTGGGGATGCTCTGGGAGCTGGGGATGCTCCAGGGGTGGGAGCTGCTCCGGGGGTCGGGGATATTCGGGGGTCAGGGATGTTCCAAGGGTTGGGGATGTTCTGGGGGCTGGGGATGCTCCAGGAACGGGAGCTGCTCGAGGGCTGAGGATGCTCCAAGGGCTGGGGATGTTACAGGGATTGGAGCTGCTCCAGGGGTTGGGGATGTTCAAAGGGTTGGGGATGTTCAACGGATTGGCGTTTCTTGGGGGGCTGGGGATGCTCACAGGGTTGGGGATGATCCAGAGGTTGGAGCTTCTTGGGGTGTTGGGGATGTTCGAGGGACTGGGGAATGTTCCAGGGGATGGGGATGCTTGGGGGGTTGGGGATGCTCCAGGGATCGGGGATGTTCGGGGGACTGGGATATTCCAAGGGCTGGGGATGCTCCAGGGATTGGAGCTGCTCGGAGGGCTGGGGATGTTCTGGAGGCTGGGGATGCTTCAGGGACTGGGGATGCTCCGGGGTTGGAGATGCTCCGGAGGGTCCGAGGGGACCCTACAGGCACCGAGAGCACCTCCCCAGAGCCCACCCGGCTGCAGAGGCGGTGGGTGCCAGCCCCCCAACCCCGCTGCCATCCCAAAGCCCGTGGTCCTTGTGCTCCGCAGGGCCCCATGAGCTGGGCCGGGGGTGTCACTGCGGTGACAGAACTGCTGTCCCCTGGGCCATGGGGAGCACCCAGGCCAGCTCTCGCTGGGTGCTGTCCCCGGGATCCTCTGGGGCGTTACCCCAGCGAACCCAAGAGCCCTGCAGGGAGCCCGTGGGGGCAGTTTTGGCCCTGCTGCACTTTGGGGCGCAGGGGCTGAGCCCCCCCGGGAATGGGGGAATGCTCCTCGGCCCCATCCYGCAGGGTGGGGAGGATGAGGGATGCTCCTGCACCCTCTCCATCCCTCTCTGAGTCCAAGGGATCGTTCTGCACCCCTTCCATCCCTCTCTGACTCCAGGGGATCGTTCTGCACATCCTCCATCCCTCGGTGAGGCTGAAGGCTGCTCCTCCACCCCCTCCATCCCTCACTGCAGCCCAAGGATGCTCCTGCACATCCTCCATCACTTGGCAAGGCCGAGGGATGCTCCTGCACCCCATCCATCCCTCTCAGAAACCCAAGGATGCTCCTGCACCCCCTCCATCCCTCTCTGAGTCCAGAGGATTGCTCTGCACATCCTCCATCCCTCACTGCAGCTGAAGGGTGATCCTCTACCCCCTCCATCCCTCTCTGAAGCCAAAGGATGCTCCTCCAGCCCCTCCATCCCTCTCTGAAGCCAAAGGATGCTCCTGCACCCCCTCAATCCCTCACTGAAGCCCAAGGACGCTCCTGCACATCCTCCATCCCTCTCTGAGCCCAGAAGGTTGTTCTTCACCCCTTCCATCCCTCTCTGAATCCCAAGGATGCTCCTCCACCCCCTCCATCCCTCGCTGAGCCCAGGCGCTGCTCCAGCCCACCCTCCGCCTCTCGGCGAGCCCGATGAGCTCCTGCACATCCTCCGTGCTCCATCCCGGCGGCTGCGGCGGGAGGCGGTCGCTGTGGCAACGTGCGTGCGGCGCAGGGGAGGGGATGCTCGGCGCGGGGATGGCTCCCGGCGGACAGGCAGCGCTGCCTGCGGCGGGCCATGGGCTCCCCTGAAGGTAGGGCCTGATCCCCGCCTCCCCCGCACCCCTGAGCTCCCCGGAACCCCCCGGGCACCCCGCGCTGGGCCCGGCTTTGAAGGGCACGGCCGGGACGAGGAGGGACCCAGCGCGGCTCCGGCGAGCGTGGCCGGGCTCGGCTTTGGGTGGGTGCATGAGCCGGTGCGTGGTGCGGCTTGGAGAAGGATCGGGGCGGCCCCAAACTCCTCCCGCCGTCCCCGCGGGCTCCTCGGGGTGCTGGGCAGGGCGGCCGAGCCCCGGCGGGTGCCACGGCCGGGTCAGGAGCCCGAGCAGCCCCCCGGGCGCAGGTGGCAGCCGCCGAGCAGCCGCTGCGATCGTCTTCATGCTTGAGAAACTGGGTTAGTGGCGGGGGGGAGGCGGCCGCAGCCTCGATAATTCATGGGCACGGCCCCGGGGGGCGGCGGGGGCCGGCGGAGMCCCCTCGGTGCGGGGGGAACGGCGGCGTCTCGGAGCCGAGGCCGGGATGCTCAGGCCGGCCCTGGCAYCAAAGGACACGCGTGATGAATCCCCCGGGGGGTGAATCCCCCCAGATGTTCCCTCCTGGGCGTGTTCCCCTCCAGATGTGCACCCCCGGCTGTGTTTCCTCCCAGATGTGCACCCCGGCTTGTCCTTCCCCGGCCTCGCACCCCGAACTCTGCCTCCCCCCCAGAGGTTCACCCCGCCCAGATGTGCACCCAGGGGTGTCCAGCAGCCCTTTCCCCGAGCCGCAGGGAGCGGGGGAGGGGGATGGGGGGAAACTGAGGCAGCGAGGAGCAGAAGCAGCGAGGAGGAGCCCCAGAAAGGGAGCTGCTGTCACCAGGCAGCTCTCCCACACAGAGCCGGGAATAGACTCCGGATCCCAGCGCTGCGGCACCAACGCAGCCCCGCCGCCCCCGGCGGGGTCCGGGCCGGATGCCGGGATGCCCGGATCACGTTCCGAGCGGCTCCGGAGGGGATGGAGGCGGCCGCAGCCTCCCCCGCCCTGCCCCGGCCCAGCCCTGGGGGCTCTTCCMGCGGGCAGGGGTCGGGCAGCGACCCCCGGGACCCGCGGGGTTTGGGGTGTTGGGGGGATCAGTTCTCCCCGTCAGAGCCCTGCGCTTGATTTTCGCAGATTCCCAGCACCTCCCAACCCTCTCCAGGCTCCGCTGGTCCCGCGGGTGGAAATTCCCGCTGTATTTCCCTTCCCGAGGCAGCCAGGGGTGGGTGCGGCACCCCCAAACCCATCCCGGGGGTCGGACCGGGCGGGAGGTGCCATCCCCCCGGTAACCCCACCCTGCCGCAGCCCCGTGAGGCGCTCAGCTCGCCCCGACAGGGGCCGGGGGTGCCAAAATCGCGGCGAGGGGCTGAGGAGGGAGAGCGGGGGCTGCCGCGGCCGCCTCGCAGCGGGGCCTGGGGGTGTTCCGAGGGGTCCGTGCCCGCTCTGGCAGCGGGGCAGGCCGGGTCGGTGCTKTTTTCCACCCTCTTTGTGCCGGCGAAGCGGGGAGGAGCGGGAGCCAATACTGCTTCGTCATGATGCCGGCTAATTCTCCTCTTGCCGGGAAAGCGACTGAGCCAGCAGCGAGGTGGGGACAGGCGAGCGGCACCCACGCGGCCACCCCCGCGGGCAGCCACGCACTCCCGCACCCTCCCACCCTCCACGCAGCCTCCCCCGCACGCCCGCCCAGCCGCGGTTATCGGGCGGCGGGCGGCGGGGCTGGCGGGGGCAGATAGGCTCGTTCGCTCGCTCTCTCGCTCGCCCGTTCGCTCGCCCGTTCGCCCGCCCGCTCGCCCGCCCGCGCGCCGCTGTCACGCTCTCGGTCGGATGCGCCGCAGCCCCGGTAGCCCGCCAGCGCGACTCGGTGGCCGGGCGAGCAGAGAGAGCTCAGGGCATCCCCGCCGCAGCCGCCGCGGCCGGAGGGATGCGGTGTCGCCGTCCTTAGGTGAGTGCGCGGCTCGGAGGGGACGCGGACACGCTGGGGACACGGTGGGGACACTGTGGGGGACACTGTGGGGACACTGTGGGGGACACTGTGGGGGACACTGTGGGGACACTGTGGGGACACTGTGGGGGACACGGTGGGGGACACGGTGGGGGACACGGTGGGGACACGGTGGGGACACGGTGGGGACAGGCCGCCGGGGGGGTGCGGGGGGGACGGTTCGTGGCGCCGCTCTCGGTTTTTCCGTCGCCCTTCGGTGCCGCCGCTGTCCCTTCCCCGCGTTGTCGCCGCTGCCGAGGGGGGGTTGGGAGGGCTCGGGGGACCCCCCAGATATTGTCCCCCACGTTGTCCCCCACCTTGTCCCCACGCCCGGCGCTGCCGCCCCTGCTGGGGGCCCGCGGGGACGGGAAGGGCGGGGACCCGAGGGGGGGACACGGGGACGCGGGGACGCGGAATCCATCGCTGACCCCTCCCCGAGCCCCCCCTGCGGCTCCCCGGCCCTCCCCGCACCTCCCCGGGACACCCCCTGTCCCCTTTCCCTGGGGACACTGCCATGGGAGGAGGSCGGGACACCCCAGCCGCTCCCAGCCCCGCTCCAGGACTGAGTTTGTGGGGTCTCAGCGCTGTTTCTGGGGGGGACCCCCCAATCCCACCCCCCCCGGGAAGGGTTTTGATGCTCCCTGGCCCCGGTGGTCGCGGTTTTGCCGATTTTGGAGCATCCCCAGCTCCTCCCGGTCACATCTGACCCCCCCGGCAAAGCACGGAGCGGCCAAATTCCTGTCACCCCACTGCCATGGGGCATCGGGGGGCGGTTTGGGGCGGGATTTGGGGTACGAAGCGCGGCCCCCCCCAGCTTTTGGCCATCTCCGGGGGGGAGTTCARCCCTTGGCTGTGGGCGAGCAGGGTGGGTGGCCAGGCTGGGCTAATTCCAGCCTCTCCCAGGAAAACCTGGGCCACCAAGTGCSACCTCGGGACCCCCCGGCCGCATCCCCGCTGTCCTGTCCCCTGCCAGGTGTGCCACCGCCCCATGCCCGGTATTGGGGTGCCCAGGGCCCTCCCACATCCCAATACTGAACATCCCATGGGGCTGATGGCAGGGCTGACAGAACCGGGGGGGTTTTTGGGGTCCGGGGACACCCCCAGACCCGCAGCGGGAGCYCCGGAGGGCGCGGCCTGCGCACACACCCCCAGCGGGTCCCTCCGCGTGCGGGATGAGCAGGCTAATCCCACTTTAATCCCGGATTACGAGCCACGTGAGCCGCGGCCCAAAGCGGGCTGCAGCGTGGCCATCGGGCCAGGGGGGACGGCCACGGACCCCCCTGAACTCCCGGGAAATTCGGGGTTCAGACCTCGTACCGCCCCCCTGTAAACCTCGCAGCCTCTTGGCAGGGCCGGGGGAGAGCGGGCTCGGCCCAGATTGCACGGATGGGAGGAAACGAGGAGGTGGAAATTCCTCCTTCACCTCCATCCGCTCCGGGATGGGGTGGGCGGGTTGTTGTCACTCCCCCCACCCCCGCCCCAYGCACAYCTTCCACCRGGGAAACTGAGGCACGGAGCATCCCYCTGCCCGCGCCCTCCATCCCGCCCATGGAAAATCGCCCCGGGAGCCAGGCGCTGGCCAGCTGGTGGCTTTTAAGGCCACCGAGGTCCCTGAGCTGGGTGCAGCGGCACGGAAGCGATGGGCTGTCAATAGCCACGGGCTCGCTGCCGCTGCCGGGAGATTCTCCCGAGGGGATGGGAACGGGAGAAACAGGACAAAGGAGGAACCGGACACCGGGTCGGGGACACCGCGGGGCTCGTCCCTGTCGCGATCAAGTTGCCGCTGGGGCCCCGCGTGTGACCGTGCCTCGGTTTCCCCGGCGAGCGGGGAGGATGCTCCGGGTCTGGGCTGCGCGGTGTTTGTTTGGAGGTTGCGGTGGGAGGAGGAGGAGGAGGAGGAGGAGGAAGCACCGGACACCGTTCCCAGAGCTGGCGGGAACCGTCTGTTCAGGGAACTTGTGACCCCGCGTGTCCCCCGCTGTCACTGCTGGCCGGGAGCCGGGAAAGCCGCGGGATCGTTCTGGTGTTGGTGCCCCGCTCGAACGGCCGGGAAAGTGAGGATGAGGAAGAGAGTGACAGGAGGAAGGCGGGGGGACCCCTCCCGCTCCCCCKCCGGGGTTTGGGGGGGTTGTCGCTGCCTGGCCCCTGGCCCGGCGCCGGGCACTGATGGCTTTGGCGGCTGTGAAAAGTCAAATCCGGATTTCCTCGGGGTGGGGAGGGGAGAAGCGGCCTCTTCCCGCGGCAGCGCGGCCCCGGCCACGGCCCCCCCGGCACGGGGCGGGGACCGGCACCCCTCCGCTCCGGTGAGCCCCGCCAGCTCCTGTCCTGTCCATCCMTCCATCCATCCATCCTTCCTCCAGCTCTCTCCCTTTTTCCACTCTCCCTGCCCAGCTCTTTTCCTTCCTCTCTCCCGCGACGCGCCCTGGGTCCCCTCAGCATCGCCACACGGTGCGTGTCCCCCACCTCCTGTCCCCTCTCCCGGCCGGGAAAATCCCAAACACGCCGAGTTCCCGTTATCTGGGGACACGCGCGGGTCCTGGCAGCGGATCCGCGGGGAGATTGGAGGTTGCCATGGGGAACGCGGCTGCCATCGGGGCGGTGGCTCCCTGCCTGCGCCAGATAAGCCGTGCCTGCGTCCCCCGGAGCGCCGGGAGAGGGGGGAGAACCGTGACCGAGGTGGTTGTGCAGCCCTGGCACTCCTGGCCGGTTTGGTGGCGTCTCTCCTCACCCCTGGCTCGGGTTTGTTTTCCTTCCCCGCCATCGCCCGCATCTCTCCATCCCCGCACCCTCCCTCCCTCCCTCCGCTGCCGTTCTCCGCCATCGCATCCATCTGCTCGCTGTCACCGCGTCCCCGCCGGTGTCCCGAGCGCCCCGGAGCGCCACCGGGGGCGGGGGTCGACGCTGGCTCGGGCGCTGGAAAGTGTGAGCTCATGGATGTGCCCGCCCGGACAATGCCACCCTTGTGCCGCGCTCGGTGCCCGTCCCACCGGGCCCGGATCCCTGGGGAGGGCTGGGAGGTGCTGGGGGTGGGGTTCAGCCGGTTAAACCCCGCTCCCCGTGGCAAATTTGGGGGTTGTTTGTGGCAGGGGGGGTCTCCAGGGAGCGGAGGTGGAGCTGCCGGCAGAGCTCTCCCTCATCCCGGCTCTGGCAGCCGGGGGATGCTCGCGGATTTCTCAGATCCGCTCCTGCTCTGTCTGTGCATCCCACGGGAATGGGATCTGCGCTTCCTGGGAGCCGTGGGGCCGGGGGACAGCAGRGTTGGGGTCCCCAAAGGAGGTGCCACCCCCTCAGCCCCATGCCCGTGCGGAGTTGGGGTCCCCAAAGCCTCGTGCTCGTGCAGGTTTGGGGTCCCTAAAAGCAATGCCACCCCCTCAAGTCCCGTGCCCTTGCAGGATTAGGGTCCCCAAAGGAGGTGACAGCCCCTCAACCCCATGCCCGTGAAGAGTTGGGGTCCCCAAAACCCCGTGCCCGTGCAGGTTTGGGGTCCCTAAAAGCGATGCCACCCCCTCAAATCCCATGCCCGTGCAGGGTTGGGGTTTCCAAAGCCCCTCAGCCCCGTGCGGGGTTGGGGTCCCTAAAAGCAGTGCCACCCCTCAGCCCCGTGCCCGTGCAGGTTTGGGGTCCCTAAAGGAGGTGCCACCCCTCAATCCCGTTCCCGTGAAGAATTGGGGTTCCTAAAGCCCCGTGCCCGTGCAGGGTTGGGGTCCCCTCAGCCCTGTGCCCGTGTAGGGTTGGGGTCCCCAAAGCCCCGTGCCCGTGTAGGGTTGGGGTCCCCAAAGGCGGTGCCACCCCTCAGCCCCGTGCCTATGCGGAGTTGGTTCTCACAGCAGCTTCTGTCGCTGTCACCGCTTTGTCACCTCGCACGAGGTTTCCCTCTCTTTCCTTCTCTGAAAGGAGAAGTTTKGAGGAGAATGGGGAATTTTCCCCTTTGTGCGCGGCATTGTGGGTTTAGAGCCCGGGCGGACCSGGGGGCTGAGCGCAGCATCGCCCGTTCCGCTGCCGCTGGAGCCTTCTGGAGGCCGCGGGACAAAAGGGCGTCACCGCCGCTGCTCCGCTTTGCCAGCACCGTCAGCAGCCACCGGGCACACCCGGGGGACACGCGGCAGGCGCGGGGACAGCGCGGGGACAGCGCGGGGACATCATCAGGACAAGGGGGACCTCCGCCACCCCGCCAGTCACCGTCACCTCTCTCCTCTCCCTCGCAGGGCGAACACCCGAGCCCCAGCCCGGCGCCGGCGCCCAGAGGGATGTGGAGCCACAGAGGCAGCGGTGAGCGCGGTGTCGCACGCCTGTCCCCTGTYTGGGTGACAGTGCCATCCCCTGGCACAGCCTGTCCCGCTGCCAGCACGGCGGTGTGTGGCACTGGGGATGTGCCAGCCTCGTGCCGCTTTAGGGCACGGTTTTGGGGTGCTGGAGGGTGCGCCCCCCACCCCGGGGGTGCCCTGTGCCCACCCCGGCAGTGCCCGAGCCCCTCTTTGTCCCCRCAGGACCCTGTGACTGACACAGCCCCGCCAGCCCGCAGCTGAATGGAAAGACTGCAGAAGGTAAAGATGGGGCGTGGGGAGGGTCCTGGGGGTCCGGGGAGGGTCCTGGGGGTCCGGGGAGGGTGCTGGGGGTCCGGAAAGGATGTTGGAGGTCCAGAAAGGGTGTCGGGGGTCCGGGAAGAGTTTTTGGGATCCAAAAAGGGTGCTGAGGGTCCGGGGAGGTTGTTGGCGGTTCGGAAAGGGTGTTGGGGGTCCAGGAAAGGATTCTAGGGGTCCATGAAGGGTGGAAGTGTCCACACACCCATGGAAGGGTGTTGGGGGTCCAAAAAGGGTGCTGGGGGTCTGAGGAGGGTCCCGGGGGTGTTGAAGGTCTGGACAATATTCTGGGGGTATAGGGAAGGGTTCTGGGGGCCCAGAGAGGGTGCTGGGGTTTCGTGGAGGGTGTTGGGGGTCTGGGAAGGGTTCTAGGGGTCCAGAAAGGGTGCTGGAATACAGAATAGGGTGTTGGGGGTCCGGGAAAGGCGTTGGGGGTGCTGAAGGTCTGGACAGTGTTCTCGGGGTACAGGGAAGGGTTCTGGGGGTCCGGGCAGGGTCCTGGGAATCCAGGGAAGGTGTTTGGGGTCCAGGGAAAGTGCTGAGGGTCCAGGAAGGGTGTTGGGGGTCCAGAAAGGGTGTCGGGGGTCCGGGAAGGGTTTTTGGGGTCCAGAAAGGGTGCTGAGGGT